TTCCATTTGGTCTGTGAGAGCTCGTGTCCGCCATCGCTCCCACAGGCGGGTCCTCTTACCCGATCTAAGGCTTTGGCGCCCTTTTCAAAGTGCAGGGTCTTGCGTTGACTTGGCCTTCGTGGAAATGATAAAAGTGTATAACAACTTGAAGTTGATATGGGTTTAAGAAAGCGTAGATATGCTACGGCACTATAATTCAGCCCTTGTAAACTTTGGATCACCTCTGTCGTTAGTACAAATGGAAGAAAATATGTATACATATGGATCTGCAAAGTCATATATACAGTATATATACAAATATGTAATATATATATATATATTATATATATATATATATATATATATATATATATGATAACTGTTTGACCAGTAAGTCATGTTAATTTCTTGAACAATTCCTAATATTTGGCAGTTTAATAATAAATCTTAATGGCTTCCAAGATACGGTTCCACGACCGCCATATGGCCCGCAAGCTACAGAGTGAGGGCCACTGTACTACAGCGAGGCCATGCTGCGCCGGTAATTAGAAAGGTGTGGAATCTACCGCATGGAAATAATACGAGGCCAGTGTTAGTTAAATCCTCCGATTTGGTCAACCCCCGTTAGAGTCGCGGTCCCAAAGAACCAACCCCGGTGGACAAGTGACCGGACCAGGATGAGGCAAGTCCGTGGTCCGGTTCAGTGATTCTGACGAAGGTCCCCGATGCAAGGTAGCCTAGGTCTTCCCTATCCCCGACCTGTTAGATGCAGACTATCCTTCCTAGAGCCCTACCACTCGGGAGGGTCTCCTTCAGGGCAAACAACCGTCGCCCTTGTCATATTTTTTTTCTCTCTTACAAACTGCTTTTCTCACGACTTCCCATCGGGTTGTTTTCTCTTCTCTCGGCGCCGACTTCTCAAACTGGGACCATAAAACCGGGAATGTGACTACGACCTCGACCGGCCAGCCACTCTCTGCTGCGTCTGCTTTTTATCGCTGTTGGATTTATTTACATTTTTTCTACTAGCAAAGAAATTGCTCTCGTGCTCCATTTTTTTTTCTTTGGTGGATCCATTCACAGAAGTCGTGGATTTGGGGTTTATTCTGATCGATGGGATTGTCACAATTGTCCTGGTGTGGGGTTGTTGGTGTCACCAAAGTTTATTTTTGCCATCACTATCAGTTTATTAATGTTCCTATTATCATCATTATTGCATTTATTATCATCATAATTAATATTGATAGTATTATTAGTATCATAATAATAATAATAATAATAATATATAATTATTTACTATTGTTACTATTATTATTGTTATTACGACTACTAATAATGGTACTACTTTACCAATAACTTTTATAATTTAATAATAATATTATCATAATGTATTATTATCATTTATATTGTTGTCACCGTTATTGGCGTTTGTTAATTTTCCCATTATTTTGTTTTGATTTTTTCCTGTTTATTCTTTTTCATTACTGCTGGTGTGGCGATCGGCAGTAATGCCTTGTTCTTTCTGTTATTCCTGTTATTTTTTTTCATAATGTAGTGTGAACAAAAGCCTCATATTTTTATTTTTATCATATTTCGTGTCATGATTAGCTTTCCTTTGGCATCCAAATTGATGCACACACACACACACACACACACACACACACACACACACACACACTACACACACACACACACACACACACACACACACACACACACACACACACACACACACACACATATATATATATACTATATATATATATATATATAATTCTGATAAACGTATTGCCTTATTTTAACATTCTTAACATCATTAGTAAAATAGGAAAACCATCACATTAATACATCTGATCATTTAGAATTCGCTAGCGTGATATAATTCATTATTCAATTCAAGAGAAAATGATCTCGGTTTATACGCTCTTCATACACTTAAAACGAATAATTTTACGATCGAAATTCTATACACTAAAACATATTGAATATACTTAAGATCGAATTAATAGTATTATAAATGACGAAAAGGTTAGTGAATATAACAATATAATCAATGATACTATGTTACATCATCTGGAACCGATGGGCGTGGACCGGAAGTGGTTTTGATAAGGGTTTTTGTGTGAAATAGACTAGAGCCGCGGGCATGCCTTACGAGTCTGGCGTGCGGAAGTCCAGGTGAGCGGCTGGGAAAGTCTGAGACAACTACGAGGACAGAGAACGGGTAGGTTGTGCGAGGGAGTTTGTGTAAGGTTGTAGAAAAGCCTGTGGGTCTCCCTTCTTTAACTAAAAAAATAGTTATTCTAGTTTTGTTTTTCGTTTTTTTGTTGTTTTTTATTCTGGAGAGATGCATCTTCGTTATCGTTATATAAGTTTGGATAAAAAAAGGCGCCAAAAAAACATGGTTAACCTCTTCATTAATTTTGCACCGAGTCACACACCCGACCAAGTCAAATAATCCCCGCCTTAAAACCTTTTCCAAATACGTTCCATCATCCCCCGTCACCTCTATAATTATGAA